AACTATTCAACCAGAAAATAAGATCATAAAACGAATGCAAGGAACTAGATTCTCTGACTCATCCACCTGATAGGAATTTGTCCTGTGAATCACTGCAAACGTTAATCAGTCTTCTTTAACAATAATTTTATCATGGGCATCTTTACATCCCAGTTCCTCCCCTCACTGAACTCAGGATATGTTTGGAAAAAAATAATGTAAAATATCAAAAATTTGAAGCTACCATTGGAAAGAAATAAAAATATTTGTATGGGAGAAAGATAGAAAAGAATCTCTAAGGCTTACTAGCTTTGATGAACTCTGAGCGGCAGCTAAGATCACAACTCCCTCATGGTAGTGACCAATTTCACCTGAATAATAACCAAGCAAATAGCTTCAATTTGACTAGTTGCAGCTATTTAGTTATTGCATACTCTTGGGTAAGACTAAAAGCTTGACAACTACTACTCTGCCTAAATTTGAGAAACAATATATGGTATCAAGGGATAGCATTGAGATTTATAAGTTAAGCATACCTTTCAAAAAATGAAAATTCTTAGGATTGAGCCACCTGCCCATTAATTCTGGTTCCACCAATGTGGCGAATGGTGGACCATTCGGGGCTGCCTTCTTGAGCATATGCCATTAATTTTGGACAATCGTTTATATCAAGAGATTTTAAGTTCGACAGCCCAACTTGGATAACCTGCAGATTCACACATGATTGTATGCTCAGCATAGACAACTTATAAGATATAAATGCATCTATCCGCCATGTTTGGAGCTCCAGGCAATTCTGAATGTGCAATACGTCAAGGCAAGGAAACACAGCCGTGCCTCGCACTTTGGTCCATTCCTCCAGTGTTTTCATTTCACAAAATGTGAATTTCCTCAAAGCTGGAAATAGTGTGATTGATTCGTCGCCGCCTTGGCTGTTGCTTGCCACGTTGCTTCTGTTATGATAAAACTTGAGCTCTGGGCAATCCTGAATATGCAACTCCTCAAGGCAAGGAAACACGAGTTTGCTTTGTACTTCTGCCCATCCCTCCAGCCCTTACATGTTAGTCAATTTGAATTTTCTCAATGCTGGGAATAGTTTGATTGATTCTCCTGCACCTCGCTACTGCTTGCCACATTGCTTCTGTCATGATTGCTCACTATATTTTTTACTTTGGACATTGCCCTTATAGTGAGAACCTTAAGCTCAGGTAAGAGCCCAAGACTCGTAATGTTTCCACATTCATCACAATCAATTAACTTCAACTTCACCAGACTGTTGAGTCAAAATGAAGCATCTGAACCATTGTCACCCTTCACCATCCAGATTGATTCCGTCCGTAAAGAAATCATGCAGCTCTACATCTTCTTCTTCCTCTTCCACTCCATTGCGCTCCTCCTCTTCAATTCCTCCTCTAGGGAACCTCCCACGGGGGCCTGCCACAGGTCATGGATCCCATCACTCTGTTCTCCTCTGCTCCATGGGGATAATCTGGGCTGTGCGGTACACGATGGATGTTGAAGGGCATTTGGGGAAGATGCTGGAGAGGGAGAAAGAGGATGGGAAGCTCTTGGGGAAGTGTGCGCAGGAATTGAAGAAAAAGGGTGTAGGGTTTGATTTGTTGAAGGAGGTTGATGCGCTGAGGAGGGCAAAGAGTATGCGAATGGAGGTGAAGGTTGTGAGGCAATGGTCTAGTAGGGATTTTGTAACATTGTTCTTCTTCACTGTGTCATGTTTGGTTCTTGGATTCACAAGGGTGATTTTGTGCAGTTGAACTTCAGGGGAAATTGGGATTTTTGGGGAGCTTTTACAACCTTGCATGATTTTGGTAACCAGGTATGGTTCCCTAGTTTTTTATGGGATCCTTGGCAGGCGGATTTGTATGGGCAGAGAATTGGTTTTCAAGTTTGGAAATTAGAAGCAAGTGCAGAATACTGTACTCTGCTTTTGTAATTTGGGGATTTATAAGGAGATATGTTAAAATAAGAAAGATAGTTTCCTTTATTTTTCTCCTCTTTGCACGACTAAATGACAAAAAATCAAATTCGAACATGAGGGGCTTGGCTGGTTTGATGGAGGGGAAGACAATTTCATCTAATTATATAGTTTTCATGAAAAAAGAACGTTGGCCTAATTACTTAATCTGATTGGTTGAAATAGTTCCCCGCCCCCCTCCTTCCCTCAAACCAAACATATCTAAAGTAGGAATAATAATCAAGATACAAAATTTTTTTTTTTAAGTGGAAAACCCCAAAGGGGGAAAAACCACGGGACCTAGTGTAGGTAAAAATGTCCACTATGAAATAACATTCTTACAAAGTTTCTTCTCTAGATAGGACTAGAGACTTACAACAATAATGAAATCTTCAAAAAGGAATTCTAGCAATATCAAAGCTTGAATCTCACCCACTGAATGCCAAAACAAATGCAGCTACTGCACATTCTTTTGCAGAAGTCCTTTTGAGATATCAAGATGCTCTGAGAATTATGTCAGAAATAAGAACAAAACAAAATAAATCAAGAGCCATGAAATTCGAACCCCAGAGGTTTGCCATTAAGAGAAACTCCTGACAAGTTGAGAACTCACCAGCTTTATTTATGAACTCCAAGTGGCATTTCTTTCCTTCTACAAGCAGATGCTGTAATAGATCTCCATCAACACTAAGTTCATGTCTTGAGGCTTCAGTTGCTGGGTAGACACAATACAGGGATAACTTGAATCAACTCTCAGCTGGTAACATACATTCAAAGAAATGATAGAAGTTTCATTAAACTTCAGATACCTCCTCAAGTCCATTTATTATTGGATTAAGGAAAATCATGGACCATTCACCAATGCTCTCCCAAATTTGTCTTTCCTCTGATAGGAACAATCATAAGAATCATGAAACTTGACCTTAGCTTGTTAGTTTGTGGTAATGACATTGGGTGCATGGCTCCTGCAAAAGTACATGCATCAAATTAGTGCAAAACCCAGTTCTCAGCTCCTGGAGAAAAGGGGTCTCTCAACCATTCTAACAAACCCTCCTCTCCATCAAAATTGAATATTTTGACAAATCCTAAAGCCAATGAGATGCGGAAGTTGATGCAGAAGACTTTTTTTTTCTTCTACCGCATACATCTGAACAGACCAAAGGGAAGCATGCAATTGGAAAGTTATATGAAATAGTGCACTGCTGATCTCTATATAATCAGAAATTAAACTGCCATAAAAGAAAACATTGGCTGCAATTATGTCATTGTGCTGCAAAACTCCATTTCAACTTTCCTAGTAGTGTTTTAAAGAGATTTTAAATGGTAACTTGACTACAGTTAACATAAAGCAAATATGTAAAAGAAGCATGGTGCATACTTCCTGTTGCTTTCAAAAGCTTTTATGTCTAATTGCAGTTCATATGATCGAAATAGAATGTAAGAAATTGAACCTGGCTCGGTAAGGACTTGAAGGAAAACATGTACTTGGAACTTTGCATTTGTATCGAGGAGCAGTAAAGAAAGCAAAAGATAAAATTCAGAAGCAATGCCCCATTCCATTCCTGCAATACATGAAAAAATACAAAGCAAAACAAAAATCAGAAAATTACCAAAGAAGCAACTCAATTTATCAAATTCTAATTTCATCAAGAAATCAGCAGAGAGTTATGAATACAGGAAAAGCAGCATATGAGGAGCGAGTTTGAACTGGTAATACTATTGTTTGCAAAACTCCGAACCTTCTCACAGAAAAAGACAGATATCTATGCCATTAAACCAACAGCTCAAGTGTTAACTTCATACAGCAAGTAGGGATGTGGAAACTTCAGGTAAGCCTGATCATGGACAATTGGATGTGTACAGTGCCAAGGGAGTCAAGTATCTAGCTGAGTCCCCTGAACGTGAAACTTAGCCTTAGATTCATCAAAAGTTTCAATCCGCAGCAGACAAAGTTATTTGCCTTCCACTTCAATAAAGAAATCAATTAAAAAACAGACAAATCATTCCTAAAATCACAAAGCAGCATCATGGGAAAAACAGACCTGAAAAATGAAAGCTTTTGGTATCACTGCAGCCTAGCTCTCATCCCTTCAAACTTTTAATCAGCAGAAGGGAATGATATTATCTTCCATATTGGATAAGCAGTCCCCAAAATTTTCAAGCCACTATGCATCCAAAAATAAGTACCAAGAATAAGCTTATTGATCCTAAACAAAACACAGCATATCCAATACTAATTATCAGAAGCTCAGGGATATCCAACCATGAAAACCCAAGTTACACTGGAGATTGGAGAAGACATACCTTTGGGATTAATCAGCCAAGACACTAAAACCATCTGGAAATTGTTTTGTATGTAAAGCTGCATACCAAGAGTAAGAATATGTTTGAACTTTACAAACAATATCATCAGGAGAAGTTTGATTCTCAAATAACAATTCAGTTCAGTGGCCGAAGGAGCTGCTGTCCCGAGAAGATCTTGACTTTTGAAGGAACCTCGGAAAACCCAAGCAGCATTTTTGCATGAATAATCAAGAGAGATTCCTTGTTGCATTAAAACTGAAATGCAGTCCACAACAGAAAAGGCACCCTCTTTATCCAGCCACCAACTGAAATTACCAGCGCACTAGACAGGAAGAGCCCCTGAAGATATTGGCAAAAACTTCAATTAATCATCCTGTTCCCATTGGAAAACAATCATGGTAGAATATGGATTCTGGAGCAGACTCAGAAAGTCTCTAACATGGAGAGATTTACCAGAAAACACTGGACAGAATCTTGGGAATTTCTGACTAATTGGAGCTTGTACTTGTAGTAAAGGATCTGGCCAAAAGTGGATGTGAGAATAATCATCATCATCATCAAGAATACAGCAAAAGATACCTGGAACAACAACTTCACTACCCAATTTGTCATGGAAACAGATTAATTACCTCTCTCCATAAAATCAACTTTGCACTGCATAGATTATGCAATCCTCTATCAATATCTCCCTCATCAACCTTTCTCTGGGAAAGGCACACTAGAGGCAGAACCTATGGAATTGCTGTGCAAAAGACGTGAACTTATGGAACGGCAGTGCAACAAGGAATTGAGACAATAGATGCATTAAAATAACAACTATTCAACCAGAAAATAAGATCATAAAACCAATGCAAGGAATTAGATTCTTTGACTCATCCACCTGATAGGAATTTGTCCTGTGAATCACTGCAAACGTTAATCAGTCTTCTTTAACAATAATTTTATCATGGGCATCTTTACATCCCAGTTCCTCCCCTCACTGAACTCAGGATATGTTTGGAAAAAAATAATGTAAAATATCAAAAATTTGAAGCTACCATTGGAAAGAAATAAAAATATTTGTATGGGAGAAAAAGATAGAAAATAATCTCTGAGGACTTACTAGCTTTGATGAACTCTGAGCGGCAGCTAAGATCACAACTCCTTCATAGTAATGATTTTCACCTGAATAAATAACCAAGCAAATAGCTTCAATTTGACTAGTTGCAGCTATTTAGTTATTGCATACTCTTGGGTAAGACTAAAAGCTTGACAACTACTACTCTGCCTAAATTTGAGAAACAATATATGGTATCAAGGGATAGCATTGAGATTTATAAGTTTAGCATACCTTCTCAAAAAATGAAAATTCTTAGGATCAAACTGCCTGCCCATTAATTCTGATGCTACCAATGTGGCGAATGGTGGACCATTCGGGGCTGCCTTCTTGAGCATATGCCATTAAATTTGGACAATGGTTTATGTCAAGAGATTTTAAGTTCAACAGCCCATCCGGGATAACCTGCAGATTCTCACATGATTGTATGCTCAGCCTAGAGAGCTTATGAGAAATAGACCCATCTATCTGCCATGTTTGGAGCTCCGGGCAATTCTGAATATGCAATTCCACAAGGCAAGGAAACACAGCCATGCATTGCGTTTCAGTCCATTCCTCCAGTGTTTTCATTTCACATAATGTGAGTTTCCTCAAAGCTGGAAATAGTGTGACTGATTCTTCACCGCCTTGGCTGTTGCTTGCCATGTTGCTTCTGTCATGATAAAACTTGAGATCTGGGCAATCCTGAATATGCAACTCCTCAAGGTGATGAAACACAAGCTTGCTTTGCACTTCTGTCCATCCCTCCAGCCTTTTCATGTTAGTCAATTTGAATTTTCTCAAAACTGGAAATAGTTTGATTGATTCTCCTCCACCTTGGCTACTGCTTGCCACAGTGCTTCTACCATGAGTGCTCACTATATTTTTCACTTTTGACATTGCCTTTATATTGAGAACCTGAAGCATAGGTAAGAGTCCAAGGCATGAAATATCACCACATTCATCACAAGCAATTAATTTCATCTTCAAAAGACTGTTGAGTCGAAATGAATCACCGGAACCACTGGCATCCTTCACAATCCATGAGGGGAAGTTGCTTCCCTTATAATTCTCAATAGTTAAGCTTTTCAAGTTTGAGTTAGGCTGAAGACCTTCTAGAACACCCATATCATTGTTATAGTCAGCTCTATCTCTACTCCATACAAATTGCAACTTGATCAATTCTCCCTTATCTTCTAGTTTTGCTTCTCTAGCTTCTGATTGGGATACTTTCTCAAGGTTGCAAATTTTCAGTTTTCCTCTGAGTTGGTTCAAAGATGCAAGTTCTTTAATTTTTTTACCATCTTTTGTGCCGACAACAAATAGCTGTAAAGTCTGAAGAGAAGTTAATCTCCCAATCCCACTGGGCATATGGCTTTCTTCATTAAAATAAATATGCCTCAAGCTGACTAGCTTCTCAATATCACTTGGAGGCTTCACCAATGATCTACAGCTCATAAATCTTAAAGTCTGCAAATTGTAGAGCTTGGAGATAGATTCTGGTAGTCCCTGAATTTGATTTTCTGATATGTCAAGGTATTTCATATAATACTTCAATTTACCAAGAGATTCTTGCAACTCTTTTCTTCCAACAGCTGCTACTTCTAGTTTTAAAGATTGCAAACTTTCAGGGTTCAAAGCCTTGGTGCCGAAAACATCAACCTCCAAGAACAAAGACTGCAACCTTTGAGCAACACCTGATGGAATGTCTTGAAGGTTTCTATCAGAACTAACCCTCATATGTTGAATACAAGAACTCACCTTAATGGGGCGGGTATCCGGCCAAATACATGTTTCATATTTTGAAATAAACAATGCAAGATTATGGATCTCATCATGCATCTTGCAGGACTTGATGCGTCCAAAGTCATCCATTTCCACATCTTGAAAAAAATAATTGGATACCAAAGCATTGAGGTACTTGATGCCAACATCCTCTTCTTTTTCTGATTTGCTGTCATCAGATTGGTGAAGAAATCCTCTAGCCATCCAGAGTTGAACTAAATCATCTCCTCTGATTTTAGAACCTTTTGGAAAAATTGAGCAGTAAGAAAAGCATTTTTTCAAAGGTGAAGGTAAACGATCAAAGCTTTTCTTTAGTTTAGATAGAATCTCCCTTCTATGTGATGAATGCCATTCTGTATTATCTCTGATAGCCACCCACTCCTTCGCCTCAATATTATGGCTCAATTTTTCACCAATGACAGCTGCAACTAATGGCAAGCCCCCACACTGTTCTGCAATAGCTTTCCCAATGTCTAACAAATCGGAAGACATTGAAGTTATATTGGATGATCCCAGAATCTTCTTCTCCATTATCAACCAACATTCATCATTTGATAGCTTTTGCAGTTCATGCTTATGCATAGGAATTGTGCTCATTTCAGAGGCAGAAGCTAATACCTGTTTGTTACCAGTTGTTACAACAATGGAGTTCCCAGTAGTGTTCAGAATAAGCAACAGAGTAGAGAAGAAATGCTTCCAGCTACCAGGATCTTCATTCCATACATCATCAAGAATGAGAAGAAACTTTTTATTTTCTAACTTTTCTTTAAGCCATTTACTTATTGCAGCAATAGATTGCTTTGAACCAGCATTGCAATCAAGATATTCCAACATAACCATTAAAATCTTTTGTTCATCAAACTCCTCAGATAAACATATCCAGGCCACCAGATCATATAAATTTTCTTCCTGCACCTTCTGATATATTGATCTTGCTAATTCTGTTTTTCCAACACCTGGCATTCCATCTATGGAAAGGCCAGAGAGGCGATGTTCACTCCTAGAGGCAGCCCGCAGCAAGCTGAAAATTTTTGAGACAGCACGGTCCCTCCCCAAAACTTCAGCATTATCGGAGTAGGGGATTGTCTCAATAGGAGTTGCCCCATTTTGGTCTCTTCCGAGAGACATCAGCATGCTAATCACATTAGTTTCTCTTATAATGCTATCTAAAGACTCTTTCTTCTTCTTAATTTTGCCAAGCATAGATTTGGAGGGAGAAACGAAAGTAAGAACCTGTTTTATGAAGATTTTACTTTGGTTCCCTACTTTCCGCTCATGAACTTCATAATCATACTCATCCAGTAGCTTGACCACATCATAAACTTCAGATTCCACGTTCTGCAGCCAGTTCTTTATGTTAACATCCCTTTCTTGTACTTTCTCGGCAGCTTGAAGCACAGATTGAACCATGGTGAGTGAATCTCTCAGCCCCTCCATATCCTTCTTCAAATCCCTTGTTGCCTCCGTGAATCGTCTACCAGCAATCGAAGTAACTCTGGAAAGTGCCTCCTCTACAATCGGAGCGATGAAGAGGGTGGTGACAAAATCAGGCAACATTGTGCTAGTTTAGACCCAGAGAAAATGTTGCAGACACAATTGAATTCTGAGAGAGAAAATCAGAATCGTGACACGTGATCTGAGATGACAACCGTAAGTGGACTTCTATAGGGCTGTTGAAGTCAATTATGAGGAATAACCCCTGGGAAGCCCTTCTACTAATTAAGTTTGGGACCTTTTGCCCCTATCTTACGATTTAAGGCATGCTTAGTTAGAGATCAACTTTAGAAAATAATTAGAAATGTACTGCACAAAAAGCTAAAAAAATATTGTATAAAAATTAATAAAGTTTTTAATAAAGTTTTGTTTGATTATTAATTTTTCTACATTTAATCAGAAATTTATATAGAAAAGTTATTAAATAAATTATTAAGTGAGTTAAAGAGTTAAGAGAATAGTTTTTTCCTTTTAGAAGTGTATGAGAAAAAAATTTATCTATTAGAAATTATATTATAGAACTAAAGACTAAAAATATTACTTTTTATCTTTATTTTATTATGACACAGAGTGTTCACGATGTGGTTTGATTCAAATTTTAATATTTTTTAAATCAATTCAATTTTATTAGTTAGCAAAATTTTCAAACAAATCCAATTTATTATTATATGATAATTAAATCAATCCAATTTAAATCGGATCGGTGTGATTCAGTGAGATTGATAAGTTTTTAATACTATTAAATATATGTGATAATATAAAAAATTTTAACATTAAATAGAAAACATAATTATAAAATACATTAACATTTAAATCACTAGAAACTTAATAAAATGCAAAAATTATAAATAAGTTCTTATACTCATTTACAATTGTAAAGATTGAAAAGATTTGAAAATTTTTCTTGGTTTCATCACCAGAGGCTCAAGGATAATAAAAGATGATTTTAAATTTTAAATACAATGTAAGTAATTCTTAATTGTTAAAATTAGTTTTTTTCTTAATGCACCAAATGATTTAATCACATCTTTCAAATCCTATTAAAAGTAAATAAAATTTAACATAAATGTCATTAGGAATGATTAGAAGTATTCATAATTAAGATTTAAAACTCGTCAACCAAACAATATCTAAGAATGGTAGAATATCAAAATTAGATCTATTATATAGTTTTAAAATTTCTAGAATGATATTTCTTAAAGTTTAGTTAGAAAAATTATAATATTATTTTAAGAATAAATTAAAAATTTAGGGTTTTAAAAGTAGAGTCGTAGACCAATTTTGAGGGATAAGTTGTAAGTGAATTAAAAATTTAGAATTAGGGTTAAAGCATACGATTTAGAAAGGAAAATAAATTAAAGAATATGAGAATATTCTATTTTTATTTTTTAAATCAAGTTAATGGAGTTATTATCTTATAAAATAAGAAAAAAATTTTAAATTATTACAAAAATATATTATATTATGTAATTAAGTTATCTTTTAATTAGATTTATTTTTTCCCTTTTTTTTAAGAAAAGAGTTTCCCTATAATTATCATTATATTGGACTCACTTAATAACTTTCCCTACTATCTTTGTATTAATTTACTACTAAATATAACAAAATTAATAATCCAACAAAATTCTAACAAAATTTTATTACAATGTTGTACATATAATTTTAATAATTACAAAAATATTTAAATTACTAATTATGTTTATTTAAGTATGTAGTTTATGCCTTGAAAATTAGGAGAAATTAATGGAATTGGACTGAACTAAAAAAGGATTAAAAATGCTGAATATAGTATAGAGATTCGACTCTCCTTAGTCCATTAATCAAGTTTGTCAACACCATACCATCATCCAAATCGATTTTGTTACGATACGGTATGACACATAATATAAATCAAATTATATCATATATTATTTTGAATTCACCTTTTGAAACATATATTTTTAAATAAATTAATTCTAAACATATAGAATAATTCCTATTCCACATAACAAAAATAAAATTAATGTTTATAAATAAATTTGTAAACGAAGAAATAATACTATAAATATTTAAAAAAAGAATCGTATATATTATTTTTGACTTTTTTTATTAAAAAGGTATTGGTACAGTTATTATACATACCATGTAAAATTATAAATTTGTAATTTTACGTGGCATTAAATGAATATGTTATGATATTAAATAAGTATAACATAATATTAAATAAGTAGAAGTATATGTGTTTCCTCAAAAATCCTCAAGTAACTTCGTACGTATGAAATTTGGATGTAGGCATATCACTTACTTTTCTGAAAAGCAAGAAAAAAGGATTCCCCCAACAACCCTCTCCTTTCACGTGGTCGACCTCCGTCAGGATGGCTAAAAAAATATTGGTTTAATATTGAGTTCTGTGCCCTTTAGACAATTTGCAAGAGGGAGGGATGCCTTCCTGCAGAATGGGTTGTTAATTTGCCTTGGACAATCTCAAGGACTTTACTAATACTGTGAATTTAAGTTAATATATCCAAAATGAACTGAATGAAATGCAAATTAGAGTAAACTTGATGTTTATTGCACGAAAGAAAATCAAACAAGCAATTATACAAGCTAATTTGGGTACTTGAATGCTGAAAACAACTTAAATCTACTGGCATTTATGCTAAAACTGAAATATTAGAGCTAAGATAAACAATCACTACGAAACTAAAGAATTGAAAAATTGATGAGTTTTTGTGTAAGGTTGGCTGTGTGCGTTGAAAAATCTAAAACCTTTTATTTATACGCTTCCTAAGAATTGTCTCCCCGCTTCACTTGCTAGTTGTTCAAATCATAGATAATAACTTCTTCCTAAATTCTAGGGATTATTGTTTCTTTTAAATTCAAACTGCAACAAACCGGATAATTTTTATGTTCCAACCAATTTTACAGATATGTATCCCTTTAGTAGATCTAATCTCACCTTATCCATTAACATGTGGCATCACTAAAAAAAAAAAGAAGTAATTTATGGTGTAAACAATGCCTCCCAACACTTGATTTTATGAAAATAAATTCAAGTGTTTATAATTAAATAAATCACATGCAAACTCCAGCCACCAATGCCACATGTTAAACAACTTTCTAAGGTCTGAAAGAAGAGATCTCAAACCTTGAAGCCAACCTTGTAAAACTAAATGAATAGATTCCCCTTATGAAACAAACAAAAAAAAGCTTGGCAAAATATTGTAGCAAATTTCTTATAGATATAGAGGCAGACTTGAACGTAGTTTCCAAAATCAAAGATCAACTTTTCTCTTTCACAGCCTTTACAAATGAAGCCATTGTTGCATACTTAATCTGGAGTAGGTTAAAATCTGACATAGCCATAATTTAGTTGATACGATTGCTCACGGCCAAATCTAGACAACTTACAAATTCAACTCAGTACCTTTATTGAAACTCAAAAAATGTTAATTGGAAAAAGAAAATATTATGCAATTTCACCCAAATTTGACTCAGCCAAAATTTGAAATATCCAAATCTACCTCCTCTAGTGGATCTTATACTTCTGCTTTTAGATCGTCAAGTTTGGCTTGAACCAGATCTAACTCCTCCATAGTAACCACATCTGTCAGATTTTCCTCTTCACCTTCGTGGACCACCTCAAATCTGTCTACACTGATCTGCTTTTCTACAAGATAGGCCGCTAATTTTCTTTTGATTTCTTCCACGACCTCCTTCTTCTGGTGATTGATTTGTTGTCTCTTCATGGAATTTCTTCAATTTTTGGCTCCTCCTTTGGCCTAAAAGGAACAATTACTATAGACCGAAGGAGTTCATCGCAAACCTCCTTCATTGTGGGTCTAGTGAGTGTTGATATGATATTGGCAGTAATTTCAGCTGGTCTGCCATTATGGTCCATCCCAAAGAAGTGAATGGTCTCGATTTCTTCGTCATAATAATGAGCTTCCACCAAATTGGTGTTAGTCGCAAAAAGTTTATCATAAGCTTTCACAACCTCAATTTTGCAACCATTCCAGAATATCAATTTCTAGTGCAAAGTTGAAGGAACACATCAGCTAGAATGGATCCAATCTCTTCCAAGTAATGCATTCTAAGTGGCTACAATGTCAACTACAAAAAATGCACACATGAGGGTTCAATTTCCCACAGTGAGCTCCATTGGCAGAATTCCTCTTGAGCAATTTAGTCCATCTGTGAAGTCGCTAATCACCACTTCTGTCTCCATTAGATCTTTCAAAGTTTGCCAATTTTGTGTAACATACAAGTTGGCAACACATTGAGAGCAGCACCATTGTCTACCAGAACTCGATTAACTAGCATCCCATTCGTGTGAGAATGAATGTATAATGGCCTTATATGTCTGGCCATCCTCTCTTTTGGCTTCTTAAAAATAATTTTTTCCGTTGAAATCTCATTTTCATCCTCCTTTGTAGGGTTCTCAATAATTCTTTCCTTAGTCTGGTCTACTTGTTGATAATCTACAGATTTTGGTTCTCCTTTGGCTTGGAAGACCAAAGGAAAGGTAAGCACCAAACAAGACAAATTCACAAAAAAACTCACCAAATTGGATGGTTTTCTACTTTGCTGAATTCTTCGTTTCTTCTGCCACCATGAACATTGCTTTCAAGCCAGTTTCCTCACTTGTCTCCACAGTCAAAACTTGGGAAGAAGTTAGACTTTTGGGTTGTTTTTCATCTTCTGGTGATGTCTAACTTGATGCCCTATTCTTGCCTTTCAGGACCATGACGAATTTCATTCTCATTAGGCAATTGAGCCAGATCTGCCATGCCCCCCGAGTTCTCCATCTGTTGCCGGCGTCTCTTTTCTACTCTCTTACGTTGTAAGCACCGTCTCAAAGTTCTGGAATTCTAAGCCTTAGGGAACTTTGGATGAATCACTCGCTCCCATTTCTAGTTAGGAGATTTGAGCGGTGATTTCACCATCCCAGACCGCTCTACATAGCCAGATTTCACATCACTCTAGCTTGGACTAGTTTTCTGTTGTTTCAAATCATACCCCCCGTGCCTTCTTCCTCGTGGAGGATCTGATCTGGCCTAATCTTTGCGAGTTCTAGCCTCTTTAATGACCCATCTCAAGTCATCAGCTGCAAGTCTTTGCTTGGAATACGATCGATTTTTGTCCTTGATAAGGCTTTAGAGGTTTGCCACGTTCACTCCAACAAACAAGTCAGGAAACAAATCTACATCAAATCCCATTGTTTTCTTAGCCTTTTCTAGAAACCACAAAATCCCTCTATTGACCTTTTCTTGCAATTATTGTTGATTTCCTAGATCTACCACACATGATGCAACCTCTACTAATTCTAGCTGTGCTGGCCCACCAACTATTGGTTGGTTCTGTGGAGACAGATGTGGTTGATTGACTTGCCCTCTGAGCATTGGAGCTTATAGATTTTGGACTTGCTTGAGAGGATCCATCGCCTAAGCTAGCAATGGTACTTCTGGTCTGAGCTGATGCACCGGTTCAACCACTTGATCTGAAATAACCTGCAATGTTCTGCAACTTTCATCCCTAGTTTCTCGCATCACTCTAGTGCCTTTATCAAAAACCCATCTCAGTTTAACCATATATTGTCTTATTGGCTTTTTATGACGTCTAGAAGATTCTGCTTGACTCTCGACAAATTTCTGTATAGCTTGGGTCTGCTCTCTACATGCTAACTCCATACATTTAGTCAAGCTTCTAATCACATTATTTGATTCAGAAAAGTCACCCCAACGATTTGCTTCTTTCTCCTTAAATATTGGATTCCTATAGAACCCTTTTGCTGGAGATGACATTGGGAGAAAAGTAATAGGATCATTTTCACCTCAAAGTGGAATGAGTTGTCATTTGCATGTTCAACTTGTGGTGGCATAGCAACGCCTCTTTTTGGATATAGAAAAATGGATCTAGAAACTGTTGGTGAGACACAATGGCGTCCCACTTAGCATGCCACAAAATGATTGTTTCCTCGAAAACCCTCAAGTGGCTTCGCACGTGCAAAATCTTGATGTAGGCGTGCCACTTACTTTTCTACAAAAGCAGAAAAAAGGATTCTCCCAACGACACTCTCGTTCCATGTGGTCGACCTCCGTTAGAATGGCTGGAAGAATGTTGGTTTAAGAATGAGTTCTACGCCCTTCAGACGATTTACAAGATAGAAGGACGCCTTCTTACAGAATGGGTTGCTAATCTATCTTGGGTAATCTTAAGGACTTTACTAATACCATGAATTTAAAGTTAATAGATTCTAAATGAACTAAATAAAATGCAAATTAAAATAGACTCATAATAGACAGCTGCATCTTAATTAAATCTACCATATTCAAAACCAGATTAATCTATGTTTATAAATAGATCTGCAAATTAACCTACCTTAGATCTAGAAATATAAAATTAATTAATCAAAAAGCATGTACAAATAAAGATTAAAATAATATGAAAAACAAAACAAGATAAAAGTGTGAATGCCATTAACTTAAAATAACAATAATCAAAAAAGAAATTGTACCTTACAAAAATTAGAAAACTTGTTGTTCATTATATCAAATGCAATTGTAGAAGCGAAAACCATACAATTGACAATCTAAATTCTATAAAGTACTATGCTGAAAAAGGAATTTGAAAGCTAAAGGAATGATCTAGAAATATTGAAACTTATTTTGGATTTTGTGAAGAGTTGGCTGTGTATCTTGAAAAAATTCAGAAAGCTTCTATTTATATGCTTCTTGCAAACTATCTCTTGGCTGATCAGATCACAGATAACTTCCTCCCAAATTCTAAAGATTTCTATTCCTTTTAAAATCAAGCTACAACAAACCGGACAACTTTTATTTTCCCAACCAACTTTACAAATATGCATCCCTTCAGTAGATTTAATCTCACCTTATCCCTTGACACATGACATTATAAAAAAAAAATGCAATTTACGGTGTAAACAATATGATATTATGAGAGAACTCTTGAATGAAAATAGTTAATTATATAATAATATATCATATTACGAATTTACAATATCACATGACATTAGAACTATAATATTTTTGTTATTAAAAAATTAAAGTTTTAATTTGAAAACACTACTCTCCAATAATATTTTTTTTTAAATCAAGTGTTGAATTTGGTCTTTTATTTATGTAAATCAAACATGTATTTTGTTAAGGATACTCATCAATGACTAAATCAATCACACAAT